TCCGATGTGGAAAAAAATAACCCTAGCGAAACGAAATTATCATCTTGAAAAGATTAAAGGAGTAAAGATTATTTTACAGATTTGTACAATTTTCACTTTTCTACAAAATATCTTGCGCAAGCCAGTTTAAACAAATTACTTAAGAGCATGAACAAAAATATTTAATTAAAATAACACATTTTTTGCGTTAATTAAAAAGAAAAATGTTTTCCAAACAAAAAAATCAAATTATACAAAATAACTCTTTGGTACAATTAACATATTTTATCTTTCTAGTATAATAAATTGAATACAAAACGAAAAATAAGTTATGGAAATCAAAACAAATAAAATTCTCATAAAAAATATATCGTCACCCTAGAATTAGGTTGTTCTATATCCACTTTTGGGGTAAAATGAGTTACATACACCATTTTTTATGCAGAATTAGCTTGTTCTATATCCACAAAAACAATATAGCCAAATTCACAAATAAAGAAAAAAAATCTAATATTTTGTACTATATCCATATTAATTTGAAAGTCGCGAAACCATATAATGGCCTACATCCAAAAATCACTATTTAAGGCTACATCCTACAGTTTGTAGTAAAAAAATAGAATTATTATGTTCCTTATCCTAAGAAGTGGATATGGAACGAAAATACCAGATCAAAAAATATGTTGCTATGCATAAAAATTAGATTGTTCTATATCCATTTATTCTCGATCTCTTTCTCTCTAACATACAATGTATGTATCTGTTTTTATTTAAATTTAAGGCTTTTGTTTTAAGCGGGTGAATTTGCACCACTAAACGTTCGTTTCTCAAATAGGCGGCAAATCGGTTCGTTTGAAAAGCACTGATTGCCTGATTTGTTAGCAAATTCGAATGTTTCACACTTTGGAATTTTGTGAAACCAGCTGCTTCAACTCAATTGACTGCTCAATCGTTCTCTAATACTTGTGTTTTCTCAGAGAAAACGGTCTTTTAATAAAAAATTCTAATTATGACAACTGCTTTTTTATTCTGTCTAAAAATTCTAACAATGCTTGAACTTCAAAAAAATAGGTAAAAGGTAAACATAATACAATGTGAATCCAAACTCTTTAAATCTCAACATTTTCTCCCCGGCGTGAAGCTGCTTCTTCAGTCTTAAAAATACCAGATTCGAAGTCGTTCGTTTGAAAAGCACTGATTGCCTGATTTGTAGCAAATTCGAATGTTTCACACTTTGGAATTTTGTGAAACCAGCTGCTTCAACTCAATTGACTGCTCAATCGTTCGTTTGAAAAGCACTGATTGCCTGATTTGTTAGAAAATTCGAATGTTTCACACTTTGGAATTTCGTGAAACCAGCTGCTTCAACTCAGTTAACTGCTCAATCGTTCGTTTGAAAAGCACTGATTGCCTGATTTATTGGCAAATTCGAATGTTTCACATATTGTAATTTCGTAAAACCAGCTGCTTCAACTCAATAATTCACTGCTCAATCGTTCGTTTGAAAAGCACTGATTGCCTGATTTGTTAGCAAATTCGAATGTTTCACACTTTGGAATTTCGTGAAACCAACTGCTTCAACGCAATTGACTGCTTAATCGTTCGCTTGAAAAGCAGTGATTGCCTGATTTGTTAGCAAATTCGAATGTTTCATACTTTGGAATTTTGTGAAACCAGCTGCTTCAACTCAATTGACTGCTCAATCGTTCTCTAATACTTGTTGTGTTTTCTCAGAGAAAACGGTCTTTTAATAAAAAAATTCTAATTATGACAACTGCTTTTTTATTCTGTCTAAAAATTCTAACAATGCTTGAACTTCAAAAAAATAGGTAAAAGGTAAACATAATACAATGTGAATCCAAACTCTTTAAATCTCAACATTTTCTCCCCGGCGTGAAGCTGCTTCTTCAGTCTTAAAAATACCAGATTCGAAGTCGTTCGTTTGAAAAGCACTGATTGCCTGATTTGTAGCAAATTCGAATGTTTCACACTTTGGAATTTTGTGAAACCAGCTGCTTCAACTCAATTGACTGCTCAATCGTTCGTTTGAAAAGCACTGATTGCCTGATTTGTTAGAAAATTCGAATGTTTCACACTTTATTTCGTGAAACCAGCTGCTTCAACTCAGTTAACTGCTCAATCGTTCGTTTGAAAAGCACTGATTGCCTGATTTATTGGCAAATTCGAATGTTTCACATATTGGAATTTCGTAAAACCAGCTGCTTCAACTCAATAATTCACTGCTCAATCGTTCGTTTGAAAAGCACTGATTGCCTGATTTGTTAGCAAATTCGAATGTTTCACACTTTGGAATTTCGTGAAACCAACTGCTTCAACGCAATTGACTGCTTAATCGTTCGTTTGAAAAGCAGTGATTGCCTGATTTGTTAGCAAATTCGAATGTTTCACACTTTGGAATTTTGTGAAACCAGCTGCTTCAACTCAATTGACTGCTCAATCGTTCTCTAATACTTGTTGTGTTTTCTCAGAGAAAACGGTCTTTTAATAAAAAATTCTAATTATGACAACTGCTTTTTTATTCTGTCTAAAAATTCTAACAATGCTTGAACTTCAAAAAAATAGGTAAAAGGTAAACATAATACAATGTGAATCCAAACTCTTTAAATCTCAACATTTTCTCCCCGGCGTGAAGCTGCTTCTTCAGTCTTAAAAATACCAGATTCGAAGTCGTTCGTTTGAAAAGCACTGATTGCCTGATTTGTAGCAAATTCGAATGTTTCACACTTTGGAATTTTGTGAAACCAGCTGCTTCAACTCAATTGACTGCTCAATCGTTCGTTTGAAAAGCACTGATTGCCTGATTTGTTAGAAAATTCGAATGTTTCACACTTTATTTCGTGAAACCAGCTGCTTCAACTCAGTTAACTGCTCAATCGTTCGTTTGAAAAGCACTGATTGCCTGATTTATTGGCAAATTCGAATGTTTCACATATTGGAATTTCGTAAAACCAGCTGCTTCAACTCAATAATTCACTGCTCAATCGTTCGTTTGAAAAGCACTGATTGCCTGATTTGTTAGCAAATTCAATGTTTCACACTTTGGAATTTCGTGAAACCAACTGCTTCAACGCAATTGACTGCTTAATCGTTCGTTTGAAAAGCAGTGATTGCCTGATTTGTTAGCAAATTCGAATGTTTCACACTTTGGAATTTTGTGAAACCAGCTGCTTCAACTCAATTGACTGCTCAATCGTTCTCTAATACTTGTTGTGTTTTCTCAGAGAAAACGGTCTTTTAATAAAAAATTCTAATTATGACAACTGCTTTTTTATTCTGTCTAAAAATTCTAACAATGCTTGAACTTCAAAAAATAGGTAAAAGGTAAACATAATACAATGTGAATCCAAACTCTTTAAATCTCAACATTTTCTCCCCGGCGTGAAGCTGCTTCTTCAGTCTTAAAAATACCAGATTCGAAGTCGTTCGTTTGAAAAGCACTGATTGCCTGATTTGTAGCAAATTCGAATGTTTCACACTTTGGAATTTTGTGAAACCAGCTGCTTCAACTCAATTGACTGCTCAATCGTTCGTTTGAAAAGCACTGATTGCCTGATTTGTTAGAAAATTCGAATGTTTCACACTTTATTTCGTAAAACCAGCTGCTTCAACTCAATAATTCACTGCTCAATCGTTCGTTTGAAAAGCACTGATTGCCTAATTTGTTAGCAAATTCGAATGTTTCACACTTTGGAATTTCGTGAAACCAACTGCTTCAACGCAATTGACTGCTTAATCGTTCGTTTGAAAAGCAGTGATTGCCTGATTTGTTAGCAAATTCGAATGTTTCACACTTTGGAATTTTGTGAAACCAGCTGCTTCAACTCAATTGACTGCTCAATCGTTCTCTAATACTTGTTGTGTTTTCTCAGAGAAAACGGTCTTTTAATAAAAAATTCTAATTATGACAACTGCTTTTTTATTCTGTCTAAAAATTCTAACAATGCTTGAACTTCAAAAAAATAGGTAAAAGGTAAACATAATACAATGTGAATCCAAACTCTTTAAATCTCAACATTTTCTCCCCGCCGTGAAGCTGCTTCTTCAGTCTTAAAAATACCAGATCAAAAAATATGTTGCTATGCATAAAAATTAGATTGTTCTATATCCATTTATTCTCGATCTCTTTCTCTCTAACATACAATGTATGTATCTGTTTTTATTTAAATTTAAGGCTTTTGTTTTAAGCGGGTGAAATTGCACCACTAAACGTTCGTTTGTCAAATAGACGGCAAATCGGTTCGTTTGAAAAGCACTGATTGCCTGATTTGTAGCAAATTCGAATGTTTCACACTTTGGAATTTTGTGAAACCAGCTGCTTCAACTCAGTTGACTTGTCAATCGTTCTCTAATACTTGTTGTGTTTTCTCGGAGAAAACGGTCTTTTAATAAAAATTCTAATTATGACAACTGCTTTTTTATTCTGTCTAAAAATTCTAACAATGCTTCAACTCAATTGACTGCTCAATCGTTCGTTTGAAAAGCACCGATTGCCTGATTTGTTAGCAAATTCCAATGTTTCACACTTTGGAATTTCGTGAAACCAGCTGCTTCAACTCAGTTAACTGCTCAATCGTTCGTTTGAAAAGCACTAATAGCCTGATTTGTTAGAAAATTGGAATGCTTCACACTTAGGAATTTCGTGAAACCAGCTGCTTCAACTCGATTGACTGCTCAATCGTTCGTTTGAAAAGCACTGATTGCCTGATTTATTGGCAAATTCGAATGTTTCACACTTTGGAATTTCGTAAAACCAGCTGCTTCAACTCAATAATTCACTGCTCAATCGTTCGGTTGAAAAGCACTGATTGCCTGATTTGTTAGCAAATTCGAATGTTTCACACTTTGGAATTTCGTGAAACCAACTGCTTCAACGCAATTGACTGCTTAATCGTTCGTTTGAAAAGCACTGATTGCCTGATTTGTTAGCAAATTCGAATGTTTCACACTTTGGAATTTTGTGAAACCAGCTGCTTCAACTCAATTGACTGCTCAATCGTTCTCTAATATCCATCATCTACATTCTCGTTATCACCATCCATTGCCCTGCGTTCCTTCGACTTGCTTCTGGTAATTATTCCTTCCATGCTGCTCAATGCTCGAAGGCCACAAAATGTCTCTTTCTGAAAACTATCTGTCTGAATTTTCCTAATCCACAAACTCTCTGCTTTTTCTATATCTTGTCTGGATATTTTGGTGTCTTGTCTTCTTTTTGCAATTCTAAAATCTATAAAAACGTAAATTATTGAGGTGCTTCGTATGAGTTTTGTCCAAAAAGAAAACTTTCTCATATCTGGTAGAAAATCTAATGAAACTTTTTGATTAACCAGAATTAATTCTTCATTTTCTCCTGATTCAGAAATAGATTCACATTTTTGTGCTAGGTTTAAGCTATTCCAGTCTACATCCTGTAGATATAGAAGATCCGGACCTTTATGCCCTCTTTCATTCAGGTTTAACTTGAGTGTTTCTTCATCTCTGGTTGCTTCATCTGCTACATTCAATTTAGTTGATATCCAGTGCCAATTTTTTGTACTAGTTTTTTCTTGAATTTCTCCTACACGATTTGCGATAAATGTTCCCAGTATTCTTGCCTCAGATTTTATCCACGACAAAACTATTTGAGAATCGGTCCAAAAATGTGTAGAATCGATTTTTATGGTATGTTTTTTCTTTATGGTTTCAGCTAATCTACATGAAACTAAAGCAGCTTGCAGTTCCAAACGTGGTATTCATATTGGCTTTAATGGCGCTACCTGTGTTTTTGACATTACTAAAGATACCTGTATGCCATTATTGTATTCAAATCTAAAGTAGCCAACACCTCCAAAGGCTTTTCGACTTGCATCTGAAAACATATGTAGCTGAACTGTGTAGCACGCAGCAAGACAATAACACCTTGGAATTTTAAGCTTATAAATTTGTTCTAAATTCTCCAGCCATTTTTTCCACTTTTCTCTATTTCGTTACTAATTTTTTGATCCCAATCAATTCCAGATCGCCAAATATCTTGTAAAATAATTTTTCCTCTTATCAAGAAGTTACCCAGTAGTCCCAAAGGATCATATATTGACATAACTGTTTTCAAAACTTCTCGTTTCGTTGGTGTTCTATTTGTTAAAATCTCTTTGTCAATTGTATTAAAGTTTAGACTAAAATATAACTCGTCTGTGTTTGGGTCCCATCTGACTCCCAACACTCTTTCAATTGGCATAATATTTTCATTTTTGGATACAGTGCTAGATCTTAAATCTTCTGGTATGCTATTTAAAACAGTTTTGGAATTGGATGCCCAACCACAAATCTCAAACCCTTATTTTGATGAATCTGTATTACTTCAGATATCAGTTTGATCGCATCCTCTTCTGAGTCTTCAGAATCGAGATAGTCATCCATGTAGTGCTTTTTCATGATTGCTTCTGAAGCCTATCTTTCTTTGTAGGTATTTTTCTTTGAATTCTAAAGCATTAAAGTTTTTGATGTATTGTGCCGAAAACGGCGATGAGACTGCACCAAAAATCATAGCTACCATGGCATACGTGGACGGTATTACATTTTCTTTTTCTCTCCACAAAAATCGTTGAGCAGTTTGGTCTTCTTTTCTTATGTGGACTTGATGAAACATTTCACGAATATCAGCGGAGAAAGCTATGCTTTTTTGCCTGAATTTTAAAAGTATTTCTAGTAAACTGTTAAACAAATCAGGTCCTTTTAATAGAAAATCATTCAAACATTTTCCATCAACTCTGGCGGCGTCATCAAAGACAAATCTTAATTTTCCTGGTTTGTTTGGATTAATCACAGCAAAATGTGGAAGATACCAAACCCTCTCTTTATTTTCTGAAATTTCCTCTTCTGTTTCTTTTCTAGCATAACGCTTGTTCAAGTAGTCTTTAATTTTATGTTCATATATGAACTTTAAAATATTTAATTTTATATACATATATAATTCTTTAAAAATCGCATCTTTCTTCATTTTTCTTTCCATGAACTCTAGTCTCTTGTATGCGATTGGTCTTGATTCTGGAAATATTGTTTCCTCACTTTTCCACAATAATCCAGTTTCTCATCTGTTTTCAATTCGTTTAGTGGTTGCTTTTATAATTTCCATTGCTTTTTCTTCTTCTTGTGATATTGATTTTTCTTGTAATTTAACTCCTAAGTTTTCTATAGTAAAAAAGGAGTTTACTAGCTCGTGTAGTTCATCTTTGTTTTCTGGTTGACATACGCTGATATGTAGAATAGATTGATGAGCCGTATGTCTGAGGGTACTTACGTTTCCGTGCAAAATCCAGCCTAATTTCGTAAGAGACAAGGCAGGTGAATTTTTAGGGCCTTCAATAATTTTTCTTGTTATGATTATATCCCAGTGATCTTGACCAATTAATATTTTTGGTTTCGCGTTCAAATAGCTTTTAAAGTCTATGTTTCTTAAGTGTTTCCATATATCTTTGAATTTTCTTGAATTGACGGATTGTACTGGTAGGTCCATATCTTGCATAGTGTACACATCTGTGAGTTCATAAAATACACAATCATTTCCTGAGATTTCGAATGAGGTTTTTTGACAGTTAATTTGTTTCCTTGACTCTTTATCTGTCCATTTTAAACCAAGATTCACCTCTTCTCCTTTGAGATTCAATTCCTTACTAAAATCTTCATCAATTAGCGTCACTGTCGATGCTTCATCAAATAAAGCATAAGTGTCAATTTTCTTAATTACGTTTTTCACAGTTACTGGTGCAATTCGCAGAAAAACATTGTTTTCATATGACTTCATGATAGCAATGGTTTGATCTTCATTTCTTTTGACACCTTCAATTTTTTCCTCCCTTGTATCATTCTGGTTGTTTTCAACTGTTCTTGCTTTCTGTTCATTGTGTAAAAGCCAGTGGTGTGTCTTTTCACAATCATTGACTCCACATTTTGATCGTTTCCTGCACTTCAAGATTCTGTGTGATGTTGATAAACACGAAAAACACATATTCTTTTGTTTTACGAATTTCCATTTTTCATCCGAACTTAATTTTTTAAACTCTGTACATCTTGAAACAAAATGATTTTTGTTACAAAATTCACAATTTGATTCCCTTTCTAAATGTTGGCTATTTTGGGTTACTAGCGTATGTTAAAATTTGTGATTACTTCCTCCAGGCCTCAAATGAAGGAGCCCTTGTACAGCTTCTGCTTCTGTTTGTATCCACTCTTGAAAACATCTTAATGAATTTCCGGAGGTTTGTCTCAATTTATGTTTTGTCCAAGAGATCTGCCTTGAATAGGGTAATTTTTGAATTAATGTGCCAAGAAGTTCAGGACATGTTAGGTAATTTTCCATTTTCAGAGACTCGAGCGTTGTAACCAAACTTCCTAACATGTCAGAAAAGTGTATTAATGCTGAAAAATCGTTATTTTTTAGGTAAGGATAGGCTTTGGATTCTGCTACAAAGGATCTCACTATATCTTCAGGTCTCCCAAAACGAGTTTGTAAAATGTAGAATATTTTTTCCACCGGACCATTTGTCATTAGCAAACCTTGCACTGCTCTTTTTGCGTCGCCAGTCAGACACTTCCTTAGCCGACATAAATTCTCCTCATCGTTTAGACCAAGTAATTTGGTAGTGTTATTGTACTGAGATATGAAGTGGAACCATTCCCTAATATTTCCCGAAAAAATTGGCAAATCTTTATCAATTGTTTGACGAGCTAAAAAAGTTCTTATGTCAAAATTTTCCAAAGTTGTTTTCGAACATGTTCTTGCATTTTTCAAATCGGGTGTACTGTAGTTTTCTTGTTTTCTGTCTTGATTTTCTTTAATTTCTGTGTTCTCTACCTTTTCTGTGTTTCTCTCACTTCTTTCCACCTGGTTGTCTTGTTTTTTTCTGGTCTGTAAGTTTCTCTTTTCTTTGTACTTCATTATCTTGATTTTCACGACTCCATCTTAACCAATTTTCCACATAATTTTCATTCGCTAGTCTGTCTTCAGGCCAATTTTCCAGATCATTTACAAATTAATCTGTACAACTGGAATTCCCTTCACTTCTTCTTCTATTGCTGACCTCTTCCAAGAGTAGCTCGTTTATCTTGTGTTGTTCTGTCCGTATTTTTGCTAGTTTCGTTCGTTGAGCAATAAGTTCATTTTTCTCATCTAGAAGCGATATTTGCGCGGTAAGAAGCTCATCTTCCTTACTTATTTTCTTAGCTAACTCCTCGTCCGCCTGTTTTAACGCCTCTAACCTCTTACTACTAACTGTACTAGATAAAATAGAATGTTTAGAGTGGGACTTACCCTTGGTCTTGGACACCTCGCTGACTGCTTGGCTTGTTACCCTGCTAGCTTGATTTCTTGCCCTTGATGCACTGGTAGTTCCCTTTACAGTAGCCTCAGCGTCCCCGACGGTTTCGGAAATTCCTGCCTGTTGTATCCCATCATCTACATTCTCGTTATCACCATCCATTGCCCTGCGTTCCTTCGACTTGCTTCTGGTAATTATTCCTTCCATGCTGCTTAATGCTCGAAGACCACAAAATGTTGTGTTTTTTCAGAGAAAACGATCTTTTAATAAAAATTCTAATTATGACAACTGCTTTTTTATTCTGTCTAAAAATTCTAACAATGCTTGAACTTCAAAAAAATAGGTAAAAGGTAAACATAATACAATGCGAATCCAAACTCTTTAAATCTCAACAATACTATCAATACTAGAGATAGCTAAAAAACATTTAAATAATCCAATGAAAGTTAAAAATCAGATTTAAAATCTGAATAAGTTATTCTAACACTATACATACCAAACAAATAGGCGAAAAAAAAAATGATTTGTTTTTAATAAACAATGCAGACGAATAATTACTACTACTGTATTTTAGGATTTTATTTTTTATGATGTTTCTAGTTAATGTCTTATTGTCTCCACTTCAGTTATTTTGTGTTGAAATAATATTTTGAAATACAAATAAATCAGCTTAAAATGAGTATTATATTATTCTATATCCCCTTATTTTGTTCTATATCCCTAAAATCGGCTCAATGTACAGCTAATAGACAAATTTGTTCTATATTCAAATCTAAAATCACTAATATCTTTAAAATAAAGCTTCTAGTAGTAGTAAAAGTAAGTAGAAAGTAAAAGTAAATACATATGTTTGATAGGTTTTTATATTATCTTTAATTTATATGTTTAATAGAACCATTTTGGTATAGGTATAGTGTTCACGGATATCCAGTTTAAACTTTAAACCTTGTTTTCTCAGTTTCATCGAAATGGTCTATAGAACAATCTTATTCTAGGGTGACGATATGGTAAAATATCTTTCTTTGTCGGTATAAACTTAAGCAATTTTTAAGTAGATATTTCGAAAAATGGCAAACTTTCATAGACTTCTAGTAGAAGTGTTATAGTTAAAGTAATTTATTACATAATACATATATTTTATACCGGATGCGTCTCAAAACTGGCTCGCCCCCCCACTATATTTTTTATTGTTTCAGATAAAAATTTGGTATGTTAGTACATGACATAAACTAGGATTGATTGACGTATACAACTTTTGATTTTTAAATGGCACCCTCAATATATTTCTATTCGATAGAAAATGGGACTCTGAATAGGATTACATTTGATATGTCAACTTTTGGGGGAAATTTTCGCATATGGTTTATTTGAAATTGTTCATAACGACAACTTGACTTGAAATACCTAGTGTGTGGTACCAAATTATTAGTAAAAAAATGATTTTTTCAAATATTCTAATGAGCCACCCTCATTCCATTTGAAAAAATTGGGATATGATTAAAAATACGATTTGGGTATATTTTAACTGGCCAGGACAAAGGCAAGACATTAAAAGGGTAAGACATGAGAGACATTAGACGATCAAAACTATTTTTCCAAGGCTCCATGATTAAAAATTAGTGTTTTTAGCACAGCCATAGCACTGTAGATTGAAATTTAAAATACGCTTTTAAATTTTTTTTTTAATTTAAAATACATTTTTTTTTAAAGCAAAAATGTCAAAAGTTGGCATATGATATTATGTCATTCTATTCAGAGTGTTATTTTCTATAGAATAAATGGAAATATAATACCGAGGGTGCCATTTAAAAATCAAAAGTTGTAGTCATTTCCGGTAAAACAGGAAGCAACCAAAAACAATTGAATTCGTCAATCAATACTAATTTATGTCATATACTAATATACCAAATCTCGTTTTTTTATCTGAAAAAATAAAAAAAGTTATAGGGGTGAGCCACTTTCGAGACGCACCCGGTATAGGTATTGAATTTACAGTACATGATAATTTGAAGATTAGTAATTGTGGAATATTTCTTTAGACAAATCTATCAAGATCTAAACTACATATTGGAGGATAGTTTTTTTTTGAAGCGTCAAAATTATTAGTTTTCAAAAATGTTGGTTGCTTTTAAATAGTGATATCTCCAAAAAGGTAAGAGTGCTGTGCTTAAGAGTGTTGTCTTGTCTTAAGACCATTAAGAAATTCATATATTTTTTATTCCCTTTAAATCAGGTAAAGTTTTTGTTGATGTTTATATTAGAGTTTGGGTTCTCATCAACGCTTCTCATACTCCTGAATTCGCATACTATCTGTGTACGTATGAACGATTTAAAATTTTGCTATAAAACTGTGAAAAAGCAACAAACTTTTCAACGGTTTATCACACAAATAAGACGCCGTTTGGACCATTTTACAGAGTGTTTTCTCGTGGAGAGATTCCTCATTTAAAAATAAGATTTATTATTCATATCAACATTGGTCTGATTCTGCTTTGTTTCGTAGCTACAGAGTGTTAAAGTTTTAACATTTTTTCGATTTAGGTATTATAATTTTCTTTAAAGTACTTTTAGCCCTTAGAATGAAACTTTCAGGGTAAAAGTTACTATAAATGCGACATATTTTAATGCAGAAAGGTGCATATGGGTTAGGACTGGAATATTTTTCTAAAAAAAGCATGTACGCCACTGACTTTTTTTCTCTTGTTAGCAAAATAGTGTCTGGAGTTTAATGCCGATTAAAAGTTGTCTCTTGATACTTTGTCGATTTCAGCCTCCCATGATGAGATATGTATACGAAACTTTATTGATTTGCCTTGATATATTGATATATTGATCCAAGTCTAATAACAACCTTAAAAAATTACTCATTGATTTCTCATCAAAAAATATGAAAAAAAAATCCTATAAACATGGTTATGGAAATGCATAATTTTAAAGTTACAGGCTACAGGGTGTTAAAACTTTTTAAAATTATGTTTTTTGTAATTATCTTAATTGCCATTATTTTTTTATTTGAAATTGCTGTAGGTTGGACTGATAGTAATAATAACTAATATTAATTATATTTAATAATAAATTAGGTAAAATATATAATTTATTAATTTTAGTTTACTTTTATTAATTCTGATTAATAAAATTGCGATTATCTCATCAAGCAAGCCGAATTCGACAAAATATCAAGAGACAACTTTTAATTGACAGTAAACGGCCTACACGATTTTGATCAAAAGAAAAAAGTCAGTAGCGCACATGTTCTTTTTGAAAAATATTCCAGTGATAACCCATATGCAAGTCCCTGATGCAGTTATCGACCCTTTTTTTTGCATTAAAATGTGTAGCACTTATAGTAACTTTTACCCTCAAAATTTCATTTGAATCACTAAAAATATTTGGAAGAAAATTATAATAAATCGAAAAAATATTAAGACTTAACACCCTGTAGCTACGAAACAAAGTAGAATCGGACCTATGTTAATATGAAAAATATATCTTATTTGTATGTGAGGAATAGGGAATGCAATCCCGCAAATGCGGGATCCCTCTGAGATTCCGCGGGATCAAAGTTGCGGGATTTACCGTGCGGGATCCGCGGGATTGACCCATTACTACTGGCTAACCGAATCGATCTCGATTAGGGTCAAACCGTTTCGTTCCGGGCCGATGCATCGACGGTCGGAACCCGGGGGATTCCCCTTACGGCTTGACCATTAAAAATAAGTGAAACAAACAGGTTACTTGTTAGATTTCTTTCTGGCGTATGTGCGTAAGTGAAGAAAAGCGTTTAACTAGTACCTGTGGACAATTTCGTCAAATAAACTACCGGACATATGTAATTATCGGAACAAGCAAAATTTTAGGGTAAATTTAAAGTTGAATAGGTATCTCTTGAACTAAAAAAGATTTTGGGATTTGGTTTGGACCAGGTCTTAGATGCATCTATTGTGATTAAGATGCTATATGGTTTTCGAAAATATATTTAGCGAATTCTCGTATAAAGGGTCTTTTATAAGAGTGTGAAAATTTGGTCAAGAATCTTTTTTACCGCAAATTTCCAATTTTTAAAAAATCGAAATTTTTACCAAGTACGACTAATCTGTATTGAAATTAGAAAAAACAATTTGATAGGTTTTTTAATTTTTTGTTTTAAGGAAAATTCGACGTTTATTTTTAAAATATGCATTAGGCATAGGTATGGTCCTAAATGGTACAAAAAGCTTTGTACATTCTGCATATGCCAAAAAATGGTTGATATAAAGTGTATCTAAAAACAGATAACCAACACAAGTTAAAAAAAACTTCAACATCAGAATAATATTTTTATTTATAAAATAAGTAGATAAATTATAATAAAATTTAAGTTTATTTAATATTAAATTTTAGAATGAGAATTCTAAAAATTCTAATATTAAATATATTTTTTGAACACCCTGTATAATTCGTCCAAATTTCTGTACAGCTAGTTTAAGATACATGCTATATCAATATATTGTGGGCCTATGCAAAATGTACAATGCCTTTTGTACCATTTAGGTTTGGTTTGGTTTGGTATGTATGACTATTGTTTACAGTCCCGCAATTTTGCGGATCCGCGGGATTGACTGCTTTAATCCCGCGGGTTTGCGGGATTGAGATTTTGGTGCGGGATTGCATTCCTTACCCATTATACAGGATGTTTTCTCGTGGGGAGATTCCTCATTTAAAAATAAGATTTATTTTTCAATCAACTTACGAAGTATTTTTAGCCCTTCGAATGAAATTTTGAGGGTAAAAGTTACTATAAATACGACATATTTTAATGCAGGGACGTGCATATGGGTTATCACTGGAATATTTTTCTAGAAAAAGCGTGTACGCCACTGACTTTTACTCTCTTGTTAGCGAAATGGTGTAAGGAGTTTAATGCCGATTAAAAGTTGTCTCTTGATATTTTGTCGATTTCATTCCTTGATGAGATACACGAAATTTTATTAATTTGCCTTGATCCAAGTCTAATAACAACTTAAAAAAAAATAATGTCGTTAACTTGCAAAAGTTCTAAAAAGTACAAATTGATTTCTCGTCAAAAAATATGAAAAAAAATCCTATAAACATGGGTATGGAAATGCATAGTTGTAAAGTTACAGGATACAGGATGTTAAAACTTTTTAAAATTAGGTTTTTTGTAATTATCTTAATTACCATTATTTTTTTATTTGAAATTGCTGTAGGTTGGACTGATAGTAATAATAACTTATAGTAATGTAAACTTTATTAATTTTATTTTTATTTTACTTTTATTAATTGTGATTAATA